TCCTTAGGTAATTTTCTGGCTATCGAGTAGCCGTCCCTAAACTAATACCAAGATAGCAACAGCACTTAAGACTTACATACCGCTTCACAGTGCTTTACATCCCTCTCTAAGCAGTTTTACAAGTCAGCATATTGCCCCCAACAATCTGGGTCGTCATTGGAAAGATGGAAGGCCGAGTCAACCTTGAGCCTGGTGAGTTTCGAACTGCCAAATTGCAGGCAGCTGGCAGTCAGTTGAAATAGCCTGCAGTACTGCATTCTAACCACTGTGTCAACATGGCCCCTTCTCTTTTCCTTTTTAACATTTCTGCAATTAAAAAAAGCCTCTACATACTTTAATTCTGATGCTGTAGTTGCATGTCCTGAAGTTGTCTTATAACATTTCCACCATGTTGATAGCCACAATAAAAGTTAAAGGTTTCCCCTGACCAGTTGTGTATGAGTCTGGGGGAGGGGGTTCTTAGCTGAGGGAGCCATGTTGTCCGAAGACACTTCCTTGGTCAGCATGACCATATCCCGAGACACAAGGAATGGTGTTACCTTCCCACTGAAGTGGTATCTATTTATGTACTTGCATTTGCATGCTTTTGAATTGCTAGGTTGGCAGGAGATAGGGCAAATAACGGGAACTCACCCTATCATGAGGTATTTGGGTCTCAAACCCGTGCTGTCAGCTTTCCATGTGATCAGCTCAGTGTCTTTAACTGCTGAGTCACTGCACCCCCCCAGTAGATAATGGCAGATAGATGGGTTCTCACATAACGACCTAAGCCTCAACACTATCTGAAATACACAGAAACTCAAGAGCGGATGGAAGCTTTTGCTATACCATCACTGTAAGTGACAAGGGAACATTTCTGTGTGAGCCTTAAAGTAGTATGGGATAAATTCTGCATGGGAAAAGGCCATGTGCCAGTATTAATGCTTTGAACCATCTTTTAAGCAGGGTAGAAAACAGCAGCCCAAAATGCCTTTAATTCTGGAGAATATAATAAACAAAGGCCAATGTTTAGGGCAAGGATCTTCAAATTTCGCAAATTTAAGACTTGTGGACTTCAACTCCCAGAATCCCTGAGCTAACATGACTGGAGGAGGAATTCTGGGAGTTGAAGTCCACAAGTCTTAAAGCTGTCAAGTTTGAAGATCCCTGGTTTAGGGAATTTCTACTGCAGCATTACCTCTGCCTTTCAGTATTCCATATTTTGCTACAGTACAAAGAAACCATCCAAAGTGTAAGCATTTGTGATATCACCCATTTAAATTTACCTTAACCCTTTTAGTGGGAATTGTAAAGCTTTGCATAGCTCAAATAGCATCTATGATGCATTGTTGAGCAATGCTGAAGGAAATGTAGAACTTAACATTAAACGAGACTGACATAAAAGAATATATAAACTGAATTTTTAAAATAAATAAATTAAATAAGGGCCAGCTATGGAAAGCTTCTCAAATAACACTACCAACTCTTCTGAACTAATAGTAATACTAGCATCATAATTTATGCTAGTGTTATAGAAAAGAACAACTAAAAGATATTTTAATGTTTTAGGCAGTTCCCCAATAAAATCAGCCAACAATGGGATCTTAACAATCAAACTATTTTTACAGTACAACACAGAGGTCCATTACTAGATGTCAGAGGCAAGCAATTTCCCCTTACATGGTTATGAAAAATTAGGTCCCGAAAGACACCTAGCAAAGGAAATCATCCATGTGTAAAAGTAACCTTGCCTGTGTGTGCAGCTAATGGTGATATAAATCTGCGTGCATAGTTTCACTGATACTGAGAGTCATCATGAGCAAACTGTTAACTAAATATGGATGAGGATGTTTTTGGCATCAATAATCACAGACTGTGAAAGTATGTGCATATATTGGAATTCTATACCTTTGTTATCACCACAGCTGTTAAAAACCAAAATATCAAAAGCTTGGGGAAAAGAGGTAAACATCTGCATGTTCATTTAAAAAAAAAAAATCTTTATAACAAACCTTTCTAGGAGATGCATTAAACAGCAGTTTTTCCTTATATTTGAAGAATGCTGGAAAGACTGTTTATGTTGGAAGGAAATTATATGTTTGAAAATCTTTCTATGTGTTTGGAAACACTGTTTTTTAAAAAAGGCATTTCCTAAAAGACAAAAGCGCCAACACTTTTGAAATCGAACATTGCAATCTAAAGGAAAAAAAATTATGCCATTAACCAATTTTCAACTATATCTGGTCCTTGATTATCGACTTAATGGAGCCTGCTCATTGCACTCCTAAGTCATGGCGGTCATAAAGCAGGTCATTACATGATCAGACCTGTTTTTTTACTATTTTGTGTGTGTGTGGCCATCATTAAGTGCGCCCATTGTTCACTATGGAGCATTTTTTCCAAAAATTGGAAATAAATGCAGTTGTAAATCACAGTCACATGACTATGGGATGCTGCAAGTAGCCATAAATATGGGCCAGTTCCTTAGTGCCCCAAATGCAGTCATGTGACTTGGGGGGCAGCCAGTGGAACTTTGGAACCTGGTCATAATTACCTTTTGGGGGGTTGTAACTTCAACCAATCACTGAGTGACAGTTGTAAGTTGAGGATCTATCTTCATCACAAAAAGGACCACCTCTATTTAATTTATTTATATATTTATGTACATATGTGTGTACATATGTGTGTATGTATATATGCATTTATTTATTTACTTATTTATTCTTCTATTTTGAAATTCATCACTAAAAGTGTCCTCATTCCTACTTTGGACTCAGTATTTTTCTTATCTGACCCTAGCACTGATTGTGATTCTTCCTCCTGTCTCCCAAGATTATTCTCATATCCCATTACATTCCTATGCCAAATAAATTAAAGGAATGAGATAATAAAATATATTTAAATTTACTTTAGAGCACTATCATTCTTTATAACTCATCATCTGGATTATTCAGCCACAATAAAATGAATAAAATAAACTCCTAAAGGGGAATCATTCTCCATATTTTTCTGTCCGTGTTCCTGCCATTACCCAAATTATTTAATGTCTTTTGTTTTTTGTTAATGAAGAAAGTTATATTAATATCAAGATCAAGCTATTAAGTCTCTTTTACTGAATGAAGTATAAGTGATTTTTTAAAGGAAGAGCTGAGAATTATTTGTATGTGTGATGCAAGTTCACTAATTAATTTAAACTTTAATTATCTGGAGTTTAGTGTATCTCATGGAATATCTTGATGGCAAAAACTGCTGTTAAATGACATGTTATTATTCAATTTATTAAGGGATACATGAAATTTGGCACTATATACATAATTCTTGTTATGGCTTTGAATTTCAGGTTGGGTTAATAATTGCCTTACCTCTCATGTCCATTCCTGCTTTCCTTCTGAGAAAATTTTTTCACTTTACAAATTCAAAGGTTTCTTTTTTTATTTGTATACATTTAAGACTGCTTACAGAGTAAATTTAAAATATTTTTTTATCAAATTAAATGCACCTTTATCAATCCAAACTTGAATATTACCACTAGCAACACCTACATCTAGCATCAACTCTTTTTAAATGATGAACAAATAAATAAGAACATGCTTATGCCATCAAAAGAAGCAAGGAAATGAATTTTTTCAAAGGATATAGGAGCAATGAGTTGTGGAAGAAAAAGTAATTACTTAGAAGAAGTAATTTTATATTTCTTTATAATTTAACAATAGTAAAAGAAAAAATATAAGAGAAATAAATAAAAGGAAGAATAGTAAATAATGAAAATAATAACAGAAAAAAATAGAAAAAAAGAAAGAAAAATAAAAAGTAAGATTACAAAAAAAAACAGCTTCTGATCTTTGTGACAACAGTTACAAATTTTTACTTTGCCCTGTCTCTGTACGGTTACATCATAATTTCCTTATTTCCATAAGTTACCCTTTCTAATTTTCAAACTCATAAATCACAAGTCCATTTTTCTTTTTTCTTTTAAAAAATAACTACAAGGGGTTTTCAATCATTACTAAATGCAGCTGTTGATCTTTCTCTGATCAAACATGTTCATCTTGGCATTTCTGCTAGTTCTGTCAACTTTACCAACAATTCTTCATTGTGGGTATTTCAGAGTCTTTCCATTTTGCACATATAATAATGTCATATGAGTGAACATGTGTTTAAAAAAACCCACTTCCGTGTCTCTTTTGTAATATACTGCCCATTAATCCCAGCCAGAAAAATTCTGATTTCACTTAAATATTGACCTTTAAAATTTCTTGTTTTACAAACCCACCAGATATGCCAAAAATGACCTTTTTATACTGTCCACATTTCCAATATAAATTTGAAGTACTCATTTCTCATCTAAGATTGCATATGAATCAACAAATCTTTAAACGAAGACATCAATCCTAAAGCTTGCCAGAATTTGGGCCATTTCTCTTCCATTTTTGAAATGCAATGAACTTGAAGTAAACTAAGTGCATTAATTTCACTAGAGTCTTGACCCTCTCTTTTTAATTCTTTTTATCCTGCCCTTATATTTGTAGATAACTCAAGACAAACACATCTAATATTGCTTCCTTTTCCTATTTTCTCCATAACATCAACCCTGTGAGGCGAGGTGGGCTGAGACAGTGTGACTGGCCAGAAATCACCCAGGTATCTTTCATGCCTAAGGTGAGACAAGAATTCATAGTCTCCTGGGGTTGTAACTTCTCCATAAATATAGACACAATGGGAAAATCAGGGTCCTGTTTATCTGATAATTTGCTTCTAAAGATCTGAATCTCAGAGTACTCCAATTACCAAACAAAAAATAATTGAGAAGCTACGTGTTGCCTATGGATGATGGGTCTAGGAAGTTAAGACAGTATGATGGACTCTTCTCAATCCTTTGCCAATGCCTGAGTAAGTATGTAATCTACAACTCACCTCTTCTAGCAAGACTGTAACTTTAGACATACTATTCACTATGTTAGCAAGCATAGGCTGCTCTTTTCGTTCATTGAACTGCTGCAAATATATAGAAAAGAAGGTACCTTAATTGGTCTTCCATCTGGTGTGAGCACCTCCTCTGACAGCTCCATCATCTTCAGGGCCATCAGAGCAATTGACTTTGCATGATTCAGGTTCTGCCTGTGGAGCCCGGCCGCCACACAGTATGCATCCCCTATTGTCTCCACCTGCAGCAATCAGGCAAATCAAATGCAAACACATGATAATGAGCGGGAAATTGGTGCCATTAATATTTACAATCACCAAATACTGTTTAAAAACATGTCAGCAGAGCATCAATAAGATAAACTATTAAGACAAGGGAGTATAATTACCCTCCAAGTTTGTAAACAGGCACCATCAAATCATGACACCTCGATGGAGTTATTTTCCATAGTAAACAAGAAACTATTGCACTTGAGACAACTTGTACAATAAACTGAGTGATAAGAATTTATACCAAAAGAAAGCAGATTGTTTGGATTATCGTTACATGGATTGCTGGATATATAGTGCCAATAAAAAAGTGTCCACATGCTTTGCAACCATGGTTCACATTTTTTATTTAGATTGGGGCCCATTCACAATTGGACTTTATGATTATGCTTAATGTTGGAGCTGTTGGTCCCAATGACTGTTGTTAAGCAAGGACCTGTATCACAGTATAGGTTCAGGAGGATATCAATATTTTCCTAAACCTAAGATGATATTGGTCCCTGGAGGCTTTATGAAAGTTACCATTCTTTGATGGCACTACCTCTCTTTTCCTAACAATCAAAGAATAAGACGATAGAACATTCTTTAGTCTTTGCAGGAGACTCCCAATAAAATTATCCACCTCCATTCCTTTTGCTGTGAGGCATTCCATTCATGTGGTTTTCTTTTTTAAAAAAAATTTCCCTTCCAGAGCAGAGGGAAGGGGGCTGCGAGAATGGTGAACAGACTTAAAGCAGGCAGGAAATATGTTTGCCTTACATTTCTGCAGCCATCAGTCATTCCTTGGGAAATTATTATTTTTTTAGTCTAGGTTACTTAACTACTTTTGTTCACCACAGTGGAGATACGGAAGTTGATCAGGCAGAGATTAATTACTTCTAGCCTTTCCATCACTGTTTTTAGAGAGAGCTGAAATACATCTGGAAAATAAAATCACCTAGATGGATGCACTGATTACTCTACACCAGTGGTTTTTCAACTTTGGCACATTTAAGATACGCGGACTTCAAATCCCAGAATTCCCCAGGCAGCCATAGAAGAAACTCTGTTCTATATCTTTGAATGAAACACAGCCAGGCACCATGTGTTAAATTTATATTTACTGGCAAAGAAATAAAGGGAGACGTGCATAGATCTATTTCAAGCTAGTTAGCTCTCGTCAGCCAGCCTGGGATTCGAACCCAGACTTAGAGGTTAATACATCTGCTAATATGTAAGTAGCCCGGGTTTGAATCCCAGAAGGGTATGGTTAACTGATGAGAACTAAATAGCTTGAAATAGATCTATATTAGTCTCCCCTTATTTCTTTGTTGGTAAATATCAATTTAACACAAAGATAGTTTGTTGCAAAAGCGACTGCCTGCGAAGGCTCCTGGATTGGGGCTGAAAGGCAAAAGCGGAAGCAGTATGCTGCATCCTGTATTTGGGTAGACCAGGTTGCCCTGATAAAAAAAACACTTAGCCAGGCAGCATAGAAGATATTTTCCCTATCAATGTATGTAGACATTAAAATCAAGGAAACAAAAAATGTGAACTGTTAATCTGTGTACAAAAATCCAGGCACCTGGAAAGAACTCCAAAAACATCACTGAGAAGATATAAATCTGAGATGGTTTGGACAGCAACACTAACTGGACTGTTTGGATGGTAAGAGAAATGCAGGTCCATGCAATTCATATTTTCCCAACAAACTAAATTTCATGTTGGTGTAGGAAGTTAGCACCCACCCCTCTCCTAGAAAAATGAAATATCCTAGGAAATATTAAAAAGGCAGAATATTTCCCCTAAAAAGAGTAGAAACTCAGAAGCAGAAGCTCACCCCCACCTTTGTTAATGGGTGGGCCATTTAAGGCCTAGATCAGAGTATTCTACATAATAACGGCCTCTGCCCATCTCACCACCTGGCCTGGGAAGATTGCATCAGCCAGCACTCAGGTAAAGCCATGTGGTCCAGACAAAGCCTACAAAGTTAGCTAAGACGCCCACCCCTGGGAATCTGACAGCCAATGGGTTACATTTCTTACACAGGAACAGGAAACACTAAGGTGGGGCCCAACAGAGGGTATTAACTAAGGGTCTCTCAGCATCTTCCCTCTTTTCCTTCACCCAACATCTTAAAGCATGTGATCATCCTTTTCACTTTGGAGCTCCAAGCCATGTGGTCCTGTCCACCATTAATCCAGCTTTCCAAACAGCCTCCATGTTTCCAGTGGCTTTTTCCCCACTTGGAACTGAACCCAGAAGGATAATTCTTCCAACATTGTATTCATGTAGAAACTTATTTGTTTTAACAAATCAGAAATGAACAGGAAAAAAAATAAGACTGGTAAAAGTAGAAATCAAATGCAATGAACCCATGAGATTTAAAATCTTATCCATATTGCCATCAATCTGAAATTTCTCCATCCTTTTCTTCACATTTGCTTAGTATACCTCCTTATTGGAGAAGCTGAATTCAAAGTAAAAGTTGAATAGTTTTATCATTTCTTGTGATTGTTGGAATATTGCAATCTTAACTGAGCACTTGGTATACTGACTCTTATTATTTTGAATATATCTGTTGATTTATTGGATTTGAAGAAACCCTTTGCCAATTCCAGACTTTTATTCTTTGTGGCATTTTTCTATAATTCCATGTTATCTTGTTATTTCTTGGTGACTTACCCTTCTTTCCAGTTAGCAGATGGTTTTTGTTTTGTTTTGTTTTGTTTTGTTTAATCTTCCTAAGCTTTTTGTGCTGCAACATTGACTTCTTTTCCTGATGTGTTTACCTCCCTGCTAGAATTGTTTGCAATTGTGTTTTAGTACCATGTATACCATGCTTTACTCATTAGAATCCTATTTTTGTTCTGAGTTAATTAAAACCCATTTTCTTTAAGTCAGTACATTTGAACACATTCAACTTTAGTTTTGCTTCAAATAAAGAAACTCACTGCATTGTATGATCACTTTTCTCCAAAGTTACTGGTACTTCTTCTTCATCTATGTTTGCTCTACTAGTGAGCATGTCCATTTTCCAAAAGAAAAGGTTGCCACCAAGGATGGTCAGGAGTTCCATGGAAGACTCTGTCTCCCAATAGATGATGGCATGATTAAAGCTTTCATCACTGCTACTCTCAAAGATCTACAATTTGTTTTCATATCTTTCTTTGGTTTGGCAGACAATAGACATTAGCAATAGTATTGTATTGGTTTCTTAACTTTTTTTCTTACTTCTGCTAACTTTAAATCCAGTTAATCTAATTTTATCCTCAGTAGGCATAACCATTAAAATGCCTTTAATATTAGACAGATGTTTGCCTCATTAGTCTTGTCATAATTTATTTTCACTGACAAATTTACTTAGTAGGCTTCAACTCCATTATAATGCTTTAATCAAATAATACTAAAGCCAAAGTATGAATATTTATAATGCTGGTTATAAAAGGCCAAATTAAACACTGGAAAAGTATGAATAATTTTTCAACTCCTTCTTTAAAATAAATTTTAGGGGTGCTGCAAACAATGAAGGAATGGTAGTATGGGAAGAGCATTTTCTGTTCAATTTGATATCTTTCTTGCTCAGCTTGTCTTCACAGAACAAAATATTTATATATATGAAAGATACATATATTTAGAATGTATCTCTCTCTCTCTCTCTTTTTTCTCTTACTGACCTACTTCTTAACAGTCTGCTCTTCATAAAGATTCCTGAAATATTTTTTTCCTATCAGTTAAAAACATGATTATTATTTTTTAAAGCATTTAATAACTTACTTGTAGTGGAAGTGGAAGTGTTTCCTTGATCATTTAAGACATGAATATGCCACTTCACTATTTTAACATGTAGCTCCAACTAAAAATAAGTATTCTAATTTTCCAGTTGAAAAACCCAATTCTGGACTACAAAAATATAAATAGCGTGTCTATTTGGGATAGAGAACTAAAACTCAAGCAGCATTTACACTAATTTAGCCTGTTGTTCTAATCTTAATAACCACTGATTTTTTTAGCCCAATCAAAGTCAGTGCTTGGAGAGGGAGATAAGTATATTTGCGATTGATCTTTTTTATACATAAAGCTGTTTCTAGTGCTAGTACTGTGACTGTAATAAATGAGAATAAATAAATAAGGACTTGTTTTACAGGTTTGCCCCAGCCAGTTATCAAAACAAAAAGCCTTCAACTTCACAATAAAATAATAAATGAATTAAGCATATGAATAAATAGACAAACTAATTGTAAGGAGTCGTATTTCATATGCCACAGAAGTTTTGCTGTGAAACCTATTTAGACTTGCTCTAAGTAATCTTATCTGCATTTTAAAAAGGCAACCTAGGACCCAATCAAAAGGAGGAGAAAAACAACCTTTCTGAACTGAAAGCACTTCTCTTTTCATATGAGGATAAATTAGGTGAAGCAGCATCTCCTCCTTTATTTACAACACTGTGTAGTTGATCTATAGCTAAATCAATATTGCAGAACAAAGAAAGAGCAAAAACCAAGACCATCAAGTCAAAAAATAATAAGGTATGGTTAGTACCAGACTTGGGCGAAGAAGTAGATAAAGTGCTTCACACTGCAGAAGTGGTACCATGCCTCTCAATGAAGTGAAGCAATTAACTTCATCAAAGCTTCTTGTGATGCTTCTGAGATTTTTACTAAGCAGAACAATAACACTTAGAGTTATATGTTGCTTCATGGTATTTTACAGCCCCCTCTAAGCAATTTACAGAGTCAGCATATTGCCCCCAACAATCTGGCTCTTCATTTTAATGACCTTGGAAGAATGGAAGGCTAAAGTCATCTTGAGCCAGTGAGACCCGAACTGCCAGCTGTAGGCAGTGTGCAGAATTGGCCTGTTACACTGCATTCAAACTACTGTGCCAGCACGATGCAGCCACCAGCATGACCTATTAGCTGTTGAAAATGTGGGAATTAGCTGGGTGAGGCTTCTGTGATAATCTAGTAAGGAGGTGGATCCAGGGGTGGTC